TTTTAAAGAAGTTTCAGCCACACAACGTTTCTTTTCAAGCTCGAATACAGAAGATTCTACAAAATTGACTATAGCTGATTTGTTATTCTTGGCAAAAAGAAGGTGCAGAAAGGCTAATAAAAGGCAAATCATAACCAAACTAATAGATATTGTGTCTAAAATTTCTTAGCGCCAATTAACTTCAAAAATTCAAAATGTGTTATTAATCTGCCTTTAACTTTTTAAAAATTTTAATGTCCGTTAAAAATGACTTTTCATATCCCAAAATGTCCTTATCGAACAAAAAAAATCAAAATAGTCATCATTTATTGATTGGCTTGGAGTCTGCAACTGCTGAGGCTGAGGCCACAAGCGGCTTAGTAGTAGTACCTGATTCGAGGTTTGACATTCTGCGCGAAAATGACATAGCTGTCCACTTGAGAAGCACATGTCTTTCCCGGTACTGTAGCGTTGGGACAAAAGGACTGAGCTGGAAGTTACCACGATAGATCTCGGCAAAAACAAATCGTCGTCCCGTTGAAATCCAACTTGAACAGCAGTACCGGCGTTGTTGCATGAAAATGAAGAATTTGCATTCTTATAAGGATGATAAGACGAACTAGAGCTAGGTTTGGAAGTTTTGAACTTTTTGGCGACCCTTGCTTCAACTTGCCCGAGTTTCTGTTCATCTTCGCTTTCTGGGCCTAGTTGAGGCTTTTCGTTCTCTTGCACGGCAAGCGAGTCCCGGGGGAATTACCTTCCACTTGAATGAGCTTATTTCTGTCCTTCAACTCTGGGCTTAAATTATCAACAATGTCAAGCGAAACACGGAGTAAACGTTGTTACGTAAAGCTTCCAAACTTTCTAAAATATCGGAAATCGTAAATGAAAGCTTTTTTATACGATTCCATTTCAAATTCAGTGTTTAATGTTTTGAGGAAATTGATCAATAACAATTCAGTCGTTCTTGAAATCCCTTAACTGAGAATCTAGATAAGTTTTAAACAATGAAAAGCTTCTATAGCTGAATCCCCCGGGGACGTACCGTCTTCTCCTGTTAATGAAGCTCCGCCACTTGAAGAACCAGCATTTTCTATCTCGCTGACTGACATGTATACTGTGTCGTGTAAACTTAATATTAGATATTGTCCATTATTGTTTCGAATGGCCAATACACCTTTAACGCGTGCTTACGTATACAGTCAGTACATGGCTTACTGGCCATAACCATGTAACGTAAAAATTGCAAAGCATACAAACATTAACGAATAAAAGAATATATATATATAACATAAATAAATGTGCGGACAAATGTCCCACACTACGGGAAATTAAATAAAACAGTAAAAGTTAAAATAACAAACCTTTGCTTAATTTATGTAATTTAATTATACCTCTACCTGTTTCACAATAATATCAGGAGGATAATGAAAATGAAATTGTCATTATCCTCTTGATGATATTGTGAAACCGGTAGAGGATTTCATTTTCATTATTCTCCTATATATATATCAATCTTGAGTCGTCTTATTTTATTCATTATAGAAAATATAAAATTGTCCACATTTAAATATAATTATACAAATTAACTGCCACTCAAATAAAGGTCAATCATTCTCATGTTAGCATTGTGTCTGTTGTAGATGATTAAATATTTATCCTTAACAGTTATTGTCTCTCCCTTTCAGGATATGTGCCGGCGTGTACTATGTCCGTTATACTTCTTCCTTGCTGATGGAGTGTGTGTTCCGCTGTTCGCAAAACTACAAAACGTTTATTACCTTCTCATTCTGCAGGCGAATGTTTCTCCTGTGTCAGGAAATGTTCACGAGGAAGAAGAAGAAAGTGTTTCCCTGACAAGAGGTCTTGATAATATATTTAGTGAAGAAATAGGCGATGCACTTAGAGAATTTTCGGTTTGGAAGGACGAGAAATCATCTTTAAAGCGCCAGTTTTTTGTAGTAATTGCTATATCTGAAGATTTCGAGCAAGGAAGTTTCATAAACATTTTGAAATCTACTAATGAAATTATCAAACGCAGGTATTTTATTAATGACGAACTACAAGTGTCTTTCAGCTTTAACTCGTCAGTAAGCATTGATTGTGATAGAACTGTGTGGAAGCTGAATGGTTTTATTACTCCTCTTCTAATTTCATCAACTACAAAGCAGATAAACGTGAGTGAAGAAAGAGTAATGCCGTTATACATATCAGAATTATTTCTCTTTTATCGATTTTCAATCACAAGAAACGAAATTATAGAAGATTTTAATTCACTTATTTCGTTTTATCTAAAGACAAAAATATCTCAAGCAAATATGAAGATGACGGAAACGCATATTGACATAACATTTACCAGTGCAGTGACTATATTTTCCGGAAAAGACTCCTCAAATTATAAATTCATTTCAAAAACATCAGGTAACAAACGAAATGATATATCACGTAAAGATACCAAAGAAGAAAATACGAATGAAAATATTGACAAATCTCTTGTTGCCACTATTGCAACATTTGCTTTCATTGCATGTGTTCTTATAATTCGTCACGTATTAAAACAACTTACGGTTACACAAGGTAATACAAATCTAGTAGAATTGTCTAATGATACTAGGCAACGTAGTCAAAGCTTGAGCGGTGAAAATGAAACTGCATTTAATGGGGACGACTCGGCAAATGCAGAACTTGAACATGTTAATGAAGAAAATGCAAAGAAGGAAAGGAAATAGCTTTTTTTTTACCAATACTTTGATATAAATCAGTTCTTGCAAATAAGTAAATGGGTGAAAGGCCCATACAATTAGAAGCAAAAATAATATGATTAACAAGATCAACAAGGAAAGGCGGCGTTCAATGAAAGCAACCGCCATACGACCCAGCAACAAGAACCAGTGGCAAAGAGCCCAGGTGGACCCCAAACAAAAACAGGACAGGGCACAAGACAGAGTACGGACAGGTTAATCAGTAAAATGATAAATAATTTGTAACTGATAAGGAATTCAAAGAAAACAAATAAATGATTGAAAATAGGAAATAATTTGTAACTAATAAGAAATTCAAAGAAAACAAATGAATGATTGAATAATAGGCCCACAAAGTCAAAGGGCACAGGGAAAGGGGACAGGAGACCCGGGGAAGGGGGGAGGTTAATCAAAGAAATAAAAACTAGGGACAAAGGGGAAGATACTTACCGTAGACGAGAAAACAACAAGGGACACAAGCAAAAGTGTCACAAAAACAGTATAAAACAACATAGGAATACATCTTAGGAACACAGAGGGGCGCCGCCTTAGAACGGTCAGCAGCACAAGTACTTCTGGCCCCGTGTTCACTAAGAAAAGATCAGGATCAGGATCAAGTGATCCTGATTTTATTTTCATTGTTTAATGTTACTAAAATTAATTATGTTTCGTTGAATTAAATTGTAAATGTTCAAAATGTAAAAAACTGCTGATTTGCATAGAAACCAAACTATTTTGGGATAAAATCAACATATAACAAAACAAATACAAAAATATTCGGATCAAAATAAGGATCAATTTTAGGATCAGGATCAATATTTGGATCAACTGTAAAATGCCCGTATCTTGCAAAAATAACAATAAATTTATTCTAAAATGTCATAAACTTGCTATTTCAAGTCCAGTTTTATCAAATTAATATTAGATATTTAATCTATGAGGGTAAACAATGAAGAATATGAGAGTTTTTAAATTTGATCTTGATCTTGATCCTGATCCTTAAATCTTTGTGAACACGGGGCCTGGGGATTTTTAAACCGGTTAGTGGTGCACCAAACCTCATACTTGGTCCCACCATGTTCCTGTAAACTAGACGGTGTAAATAAAATGAATCCTCTTCAAGTGAAATTCTAACAGTTGTTATGGTTACAAAAGGTTAAATAGGTAAAACACTAAAGTGATCATGTAGAAACATATAAAAGTAAACCGAATATCCATAACAAAAGTACTCAATGTCCTAAAGGAAGACAGAGCAACAAGAAAATCACCTACAAGGGCCCGACGAAGCAAGGCAGAAGACGAACATTGAGACAATTCAGTCTCAAAGGGCTGTAAGAATTGTCCATCATAGAGTCTCCCACTTGGCCCGTCAGATGTAATCAAAAGAGGAAAGCGTAGTGTCCAACTGTAAAAGGGTTAAACACTAGGCATTCAGTAGGTCTTAAAATGGTAGGGTCATTAAAAGGAAAATTATTGATTTCTCTTACGAAAAAAAATTGTCGTAAGATGTTTAGAGCATGGCTGCAGAGACTTAAAAAATCCTCGATCTTTGGACTTGGGCTTTATTGGGTCAATTTGCTTCTCCAGAAACAATTTCACGAAAAGTTATTCTTACAGTTAAAATACGATTGAAAAGAGGATATATATATAATTATTCTGAATGTTGGACTTGTTTGTATATACGGTTACGAGGCTACAAATAAGTAAGAAACAAATTCATCGTTCTTTACAAAATACACAACAACGAATCAATATTAATTACAGTGTTAGGGATATCGATATGACAACTTCTCTTCATACATTCTTATAAGGCACTATTTGAAACATTTATACAAAAGAACTATCATGATATAAATGTTTAATGATTTACTTGATATAAAAGTAGCATAAAAAGAAAAGCTCGTTCTTTTCATATAATGTCGTTCTCACATTATTGTTGTTAGCGAAAAGAACGACAAACAATTGAAATTATGTCAATTTCGTCATGTTACAATGCGCTTAATGAAATGCAAAATACGATATTTCACTGACATTTTTTTTTTCAAAATGACAAGTCTTTGTAAGCGTGAATCAGGACGAAAATGATTGAGTTTGACCTGTTAGAGAATCTCATTAAAAAAAACAAACAACAAGAAACAAGCAATAAATAAGCCAACAAAATTTCCATCTATGAAAATATTGTCATACTTTAACGCCTGCTCTGTGTACAGACGACGACTTTTTATTAAATCCATCAATGCATTTGAATATCTTTCAATCTTATGCCAGATGATTGATATAGTTCATGATCGTTCCTCGAATGTCCTATCTTGAGCAAGCATCATAATAGCTATTAAAACCGAATCGTCTTAACATTTTAGTGAAAACAAAGTCAGTAAAGTACCTTAAACTACATAATCCCTTAAATGTTAAACCTTTACAAAATATTACACTATCAGTTTTATCCTTTCCATTATATAAAAATCGGAGAAAAAATCTGTTTTTAGAAATATTGCCTAAATGCTCGTATAATTCAATTACAACCCGTGACGCGTAAGGTGGCCATTTCCCGTCTTGTAGGCTAAACACATACAACAATGGAGAAAGTGTTGATTCTTGGCCGGAGTATAGTATAAATTTAGGTGTATGTCGGTTCTCTACAATGTTTTTGATTCTATTGATAATCTCTATTAGAATAGGTGTCATAACAATACTACTGTATTTCAAATAATAAAGATTATGGTCATTGTATCTCGCCCTTTCCTGTGCAATAACAGCACTCCATATATCACTTAAGAATTCTTCACAATTCTTATCAGACAACGACAACCAGCATGGAATAGTGATATCATGGCAAAAAAGCGGCATTATTGCCTCAGCCATTGCAAAATCTGACGGCAAAATTCCGTTACCAAACACTTCTTTCATTATATCAGAATGTTTCTTTTCGACAGCATCATATCCCTTACATTTTGACTGAATTTTCATAGATTTTATTTTAAGTTTATTTGCATACTTACAATAACACGATTTTTGAACGGCAAACTGCTTAGTGCAGAAATGTAAATCTGGAGAGTTTTCGATTTTCATGTTTGAAATATTAAATTTCGGAAGAAATCCATACAGGAATGCCACGGTGCTTTGATACACCCTAGACGAGCTTGTGCTTTTAACGTAAACCTGGCTATTTATGGATAGTTTTTCATTGAATAAGTCCTTGTTCAATGTATAAGTCTCAAACAAACTTTGACCGAGCATTAAATGCTGTAAAGCTCCTTTACTTGTCAACATAGAATCAGCACACAAATCTTTATCTGGGTACAATGCCCAATTGAGGAAATGATTTCGTATCCCTTGTTTACCCGCCATCCTATCCATATGGTCAGGAAATTGTTTAAATTTTGTATTATTGTCAGTTCTAAACTTGCAGTTAAAGAGTTCCGGTCCAAACCAGTCTGATCTATGGTTTGAGGTCGAATCACCATGGTGGATGAAAACGTGGACGTTTCTCAGTTTAAATCCTTCAATAATATCACCTATGAAACGAAGAACAAGATATATAAATGGCAGTTTTGTATGCATATTTATTCGTATAATATATAATTTAAACGACATTTCAAGACACATTCATGGTATCAGTCTAAAGATTTAAATACCTCTTACATTTAAGTTAGCCACTATGACATATCCGCGTCTCTGCGAGTGGTGTGACATGAATTAGATATAGATAGATGGCGCTTTATTTCTATTAATAAGTTTGTCAACACTTTATAGATGACTCATTAAATACAAACCAATGTAGAAATGAGTGAGATATATAAATAAAAAAAATATTAAGTTCTCTTGATTAAGCACAACCTTTGGGGGTTTCATTCAAGTTCAAATACAGACCTGCTGTGCCCTTGTAGAATAGACTTCTCACATGAAAAATGATAAGTTCCTCGAAGACCGTTAGCAGTGAGGGGTTGGTGATTTGAAGTAAGCGAACTTAACGGCCCAAATTGATTCATAATCCTTTTAAATTAGACGAACTACAAATATTTACAATATATTGTACATCCGCGAGGGACATTTATTGTATTACCTTCTTTGCTTGTCTGTCCCTTGTACGGGGAATTACAGTAATCCATTGCAGCCCTCAATCCGTCTATTTTCTCTTTCTTGAAAGGGGTATACGTTCCATTTTGAAGCCAATCTGACTCGTGTAAAATGTTATGGTGACGTAGCAAAGTCTTAGAACTATTTTGTAATATGTCATCTGAATTGGTTTGTCGACCATTTAGTTTGGACATCATCAAGTCTGGGAAAAATAAATTAAATATTATCTACGAAACATTTTTTACTCCGTTTTTAATAAAAACTACTAGAGCAATTTTGTAAATAAATAATTTAGATACTGCAAAACACACTATAACTTTGCATTAACAATAAATATTGAAGGATTAAATGTAGATTATTGGATATAATCAAATGAATGATTAAATATATTTTATGGCACGTGGATATATTAACATTGACACCTCCAATTGTGATGATTAAGTATCACATATGATTATCTGTCGTTGAACATTTTCTTTTCTTGCTTTCTATACTAATATACAAAATATTTCATACCACGTTCTTTGACGCCCCCTTCAAATCCGCTCAGGTATCTATACTTTGTTTCTATAATGCAACGTCTAAATGATGCAAAAACTAGGCACGCTTTCTGTCAATATTCATCGGATCAAAGATTAATAGTGTTTGTATAATATATATTTACATATACTTACAAGGAATGAAAAGGATCACGGAACCGAGTAAGAATAACTTGACAACTTGTCTTCTAAGCCTCATTGTTTGTAAAAATAAGTTCCAATTCTAAGGGTCATTCAAACTGTGAAATAAAACAATGCAATGCTCTTATAGTTTTATTGATTCAAATCAAAATAGGAATGTGAAGATAAATCAATTGAAATATATGCTCTTGATTTTAACTTTATTATGTCATATAATGTCATCCAAAGACCTTTAAAGGATGAAAAGAATAAGTATCTACTACAACACAAATTTTAAGATTTTTTTTAATATATTCTACATGATTTTTGCCTGAAAAAAACTTAAAGGAAAGAGTATTTTATAATACAAGATTATGGTTTAAAAATAAATTTTTAAATGTTGAATAAAAATTTAAATTGATGGTTACTGTAGTAAAATAACTAATGTTTTTACATATTTATCTCGAAATCAAATAAAAACTGCGAAAGTAGAAACACAGTAATAAAATAGCTTACCTCTTCTTTTTTATTCAATTTTTATTAGTATTTCACCACATTTACTTTTATTCCGCAGTAATTTTGAATGACAATTTTTGTACAAGTGTTGTTTTTTGTTTTTGTTGATTTTCTTATCAATTGAGTTCATAGCATTTGCTTTCATGTCCATCTCACAGTTGTTTTACTTTCTTCTTGACGAGTTTCTTCTTGGCATATTAGTATCCCATGTGAGTAAAGAACTTGTATTATTTAGTAGTTAGCACGTCAAGCTTTCGAGTTTTCCGATATGTTTGTCGCATCATTCTGATAAATGAGTTTGGTCTCCGCAGAAACAAAAAAGGTATAGAAGAATCGTTAAGGGGGGGCGCGGAAAAATAACGATTTTATAAATTATCGGAGGTTGGGTTGAGTATCCAACCAATTACATAAACGATACCGCTTGGGATAGTATACTCATTACTTGAGGGGTCTGAATATTTGTCCGACATGTTATATTATTTAAATTCATTGAAGTTATTACAATGATTTCTCTGAAATATAATTTTTGAATGTAAATTTTCCTTATGAAAGCTTGTGTTTTACAAAGATATGACAATGGCTTTTTATGTTTCATTCATGAAAATTAATGTACTAAAATGTGATTTCCCATGCGAGTTAACAAGTTACATAAATAATGAGAATTCATGGCAATTTGCTACTTTCCCGTTAATTTACGCCATGCCGCTTTTATCTATAATGTAAAACATAATGATACTTTTAATGCACTGACGTAGAGCACGTAACGTACGAATTGTAGAGGTGTTAGATGTGACGCAGGAAAACATGTTAATACTCAGATATGTTTGAAATGTTTCTATTTTGATACTTCAAATTATTATAATAGCGAATTTTGATATACAAATATAAAAATAGTTGCCAGAGTTAATTGTAATATTAGCCTTCTGGATATAAAAATCAAACTATACAAATAGAACCGTCTTATCAAGAAAACCGTTTTATACACGGCAATATTTCTATTACCCAATTTCTAATTCTTACTTATTCTGCATCTCCATGCATTTAGATTGATCAAATGGCAAATGCATTGAATAAAACCTAACAAACAGTCGTACAAAAACCGTGAAGAAGCTCACCTGAATGCTGGTTTACTCAGGTGCCCGTTCGTGCAAGAAATAATGTACGGAGATGCACCCGAGGTCGGCCGCGACCAAAATTAAAGCTGAAATGTTTCCATTTGACCTTTATTATGCAGGTAAAGGGAGCTGATTTTCTATATTATTTTCTATTGAAACACCACACAGAAGTTTTTTAACAAAACAAAACAAACGAAACAAACAGACAGAACATAAAAAACAACAGCAACAAACCTTAATTGAATCCGTTTACAGATCAAACATATTGATGCAAACTGTCTTTAACTTTAAAAGTAGAACACTTTACTCAGAAGATCAAATAATGTCTTTAGAAGAATAATTGATTTGGTTCTTGGTGTTAAATCTTGTATGTAATTCCTGCCTTCAGCAGTTATTATGAAACATTCAATGAGACACGTTCGTCTCTTTTTATGAAAAGTGGTGAAAGGCGTATTCAAGAAGGAATACTGGAACCATCCAAATAGAAAAATACCGGACATAAACACTACAAACATGCGCACACACAAATTATGTCATGCTAAACGATCATATAATTACTTTGAGTATATGTGCGGGGCGACATTTTAGGTCAATTTAAACATGACTTTGAGACATTACTAGTAAAAGTTATAATAAAACCAAATACAAAATGCATTTAATGACAAAAAAACAGCAACATACTATTCACAAAAGTGAGATACAATTAATGTTCAGGAGAAGACTTTCTTAGTGGTTAAGGTGTTTGCCTCTTAATCTAGTGATCATGGGTCTGAGTCCTAATTGGGTCATGACAATTTTCCATTATATGACAGCAGTTAGTACAACGAGCTCAGTTAAATAGATTTAAACTAATAAGCTATATTACATTAATTTTCGTAAAACTAGAACATTGGTGCTCAGCGGACATTGAAGAATAAAGGTAACAAATTTGCTGCAAATGCATGTGTTGCTATCCACGAAGAACACAATACTATTTTAAGTAAATATTAAAGACACCCCGAATAAAGACACCCAAGACAATAAAAGACACATAAAGCTAATGGACAAAACATAAAAGAAAGAATAAAAACATTACCAGCCTCAAAAGTGGAATTATGCCCATCCAATGTATATAGTACATGAACAGGTGAAAATATGCTAAATGTTACATAAATCTTTTCAATTTTATAGTTTACTTCGTATGAACGTTAACAAAACTGATGCAGAATAAAAAAAAATTCTGTAAATATCCAACGGTCTTAATCTGAAATGTTTTAATTTATTTAAAGAATGGGTCAGTCTTTTTACATTTCAGGCATATTTATATCTTATCCTAAACATTTTCAAGTACCAATTGTTGTTCAATGACCATTAGAACAGTCAATCTTTTGGAATAAAGTCAGTTCAGCGCTCAACTTAATATAATCACAAAAGTGATTTCCTGTTTTAGAGAGGCGTGTGTGATAGATAACGTTCTTCGAAATTGGCCAAACCTGTACCCAGCCTTCCTTCTAAAATTATTATTTAAGTTTTAAGTGTTACTGATATGCCTGTAGGGAACCTGTATGACAGGACTTCGTCTTGTAAAGAAAAGAGCATGTATTACCTGCTTGACACTTGGTGCATTTTGTTTTATATCGTCGTTTTTTTGCCACGCAATCATTGCTTTGTATATCTTGCTTATTCTATTTATCTATTTTTTTTTGCGAAAAATAAGCCGGTGCTAGTTACGTAGACGATAGCTTTCGTTACAATCCAATACAATCCAATACCCGATTCACTCGATCTGAGCTTGAACCAATGTTAACATTTGCTATTTTTAAAGCATTCTTTGTGTATTTCGTTTTTCTTATTTGTATTAAACTCAGTCCTTGTTGCGTCACAAGGGAGATGAATAGAAGAAAATCATGCTCGAATAACGTGTAGTATTGTAATCAGAAATATACTCATTTATTTAAATGACGAGAAAGCGTGATAGAAATAAACATGTTGGAATGAATAGAGCAAAACACGTGCAACTTAATACACAATTTATTGATAATAACTCACATGGGAAAAGGTGGAAACAATCATCTAAGAAAACAATAGCATCGTTAAAAGCATATGAAACACAGAAACTCAAGACACAGAAACTCAAGTGCATGCAACTGACTGTTAAGTATTAGTTTAAAAAAATATATCTGAATAAACAGAATTATTTGATAGCATCTCGTCCGATTTATGTTAAGCACATTTTACAGCAATTACCACCTAACAGCTTCTGTTTCCTTTATGAAGTTCATAGAAGATGATGAACATGATAAAGCAGCTATAATTTGTCATTGTGTGATTACTTAATTAATGAGCCGATACTTTTCAATAAAATGAAAGGTGTGATCAATTCTTACGAAATTATATACTGCTTTGTACCTATCGAAAGGAAGCAAAATGCATGTAATATCTTTAAATACGCATGTCATATCTATATTTTAAAACAGCGGAAACCATGGACAGTATTGCAGGATGATGTACCGTTGTTCTTCTTACAATAAAACAAATGTATGCATAACAAGACATAAAGACTAAATGACCATATATGCAGATATACATATATTTGATTTATATCATTTTAGGGGTGTTGGAGTGGGTAAAGGCCACTGTATTATATTAATATATTCTTATTTAATATATTTATTAAATGGCTTTATAGATTATTGAAACGTAACAAAATAAGAAATAGTTAACTGTTTAAAAGCAATGTCACATAATGTATTTCACGACATCAGGAAATAAATCTCACTCACTTTCGTTCAATAGTATGACCCCAAAGAGAGATATGACTCTCAAAGGACTTATATATATGTATTACCATTACGAGTCTGTTTACATTATCGCAAGACATTAACGAAATATATAGTTGAAAGTAGATCAATGCAAGTGTGAAGA